CTAATATAATCTTATAGAAAAATCATTTTCCCAATGTTTTTTTTAATATATTATTATAAAATAATAGTATTGTTAGTTTCAGGTCAACAGGTCATTCAGATTTTACTGATGTTACAACCTTAACTGATGCCAAATCGAAATTGCTAAACCTGACCTGATAAATTCAGGTCAACCTGTCAAGGTTACCTGAATTTGGACAACCTGTTCAGAACTCTAATTTTTAACCACAGAAACGTCAAGTCTGACGTTTTTTAACTAAAAAAATTCAGTTTTTGATTTTTTAATTACAAAAACGTCAAGTCTGACATTTTTAATTAATAAAATCATTTTTTTTTGATTATTAATTACAAAAATGCCAAGTCTTACGTTTTTAACCAAAAAAATTAATTTTTTTGACTTTTAATCAAATCTAACGTAAAAATGATTTTTTAATCATAAAAACGTCAAGTCTGACGTTTTTAATAAAAAAAAATCAATTTTTTTTATATTTAATTATAAAAACGTTTGATGACCCGACCTAAAATTTTCAAGTCAATCTGACAGTATAATGATTATAACTCACTAACAATTACCAAGTTACTCTAGTTTCTTATAGGGATATATATTCTCAAAATAAAATTTATTTTTAATCGTTATATTTTATGGTGGCATTATTTAATAAGTTGATTTTATTTTGACTAAGTGAGTAATTAATGTTTTTATTCCATGTCTTTTCCGTAAATGTAACATATTTATGACCTCAAATCATGGAATATTCAACATTCGCGGATTTTTATAGATATAATGGAAATATTTAGAAAAAATCTATTACGGAGGTTCATATTACATGTACAGTCAGACCTCCATAATTGCACACCCCTTGGGACCATATGCATAATTTTCAAAATAGTGCATTTAAAGAGGGTGTGCATTTATAGAGGTAAAATAATTAGAGATCATATAAGCTTGGGACCAAATCAGAGGGTGCATTTAGAGAGGGTATACATAGTGGGTGCAATTATGGAGAGTGCAATTATAGAGGTCTGACTGTATATTTACTTGTTATAATGTATAAAATATTTTTTAAAAAAATATTTGTTACACCTGTTTTTCCAATAAAAATAGCGCAAAATTTTTTTTTTTTATAAAAAATCCATTTTTGCTCCAACGTCACTAGTAACATCTATGGTGGCGTATAAATAATCAAATATAATATTTATATCTATTATTCCAATTTTCAATTTTTGTTAATACTAATGTATTGTTGTTTTAAATCATCGTTGATTGTAACTATTTCAACCAATCTATTATACCACTTCGGTTTTTACTTTGTAATATTTAAAATTTTTCTTTATATATATGTTATTATGTTTCCATTTCATTAATTTTGTTTGTGACGCGTTCTAAGAATAGAATTCCTTTTTTCTTAAAGAGTCTAGACCATTTTTATACTCTTGTTGAAAAAATATCTTCCATTTTAATATTTTCCCTAAAAATAAATGTTCATCATTACATCATTATCATTTATAACTTCATGATCATAAATCGTAAGGTCTAATTTTTTAACGCGTCCTCAATGTAAAAATTTTTCCCAAATTTATGATTTCTGAGCAATTACCTAGACAGTTTGGTTACGGTAAAATTATTATTGATTTATTTATTATATTAAATATCCAATTATCGACTGTAATCATTTTAACCATAAAAAAAACAATTTATTTATTTAAAATTTAATTTAACCAAATAAATAATAATAATAAACTTATACGTTGAATGAATAACCTAATACATAAATAGAAAAATGATTTTCCTAAAAAGTTTTTTAATTGACGTATTAAACTAGAGTAAAAATTCGCATAATTATTTTGGTTACAAGAAAATTATAACTGTCAAGTTTGTGGTTGCAACTCGAAAGGTACTTAACGATGTACTGTACAATAATTTTATTGCCAGTCCTCCAGGAAAATATATTTCTTGAAATTACATATAATGTTTGGCATAAGTTGCGTCATGTAAATATGGATTATTAAATATTTGATCGAATTAACTAAATAAAAAATTTTAGAAAATAAACAAAAACAAAGTTTTACCACAATATATGATCACTTAATAATCAACCTTCTTTATTATTAATATCATCTATTGTATTAGTTAAACAATTAAAATTAATATAGAATTAATTAATTTATATGTATATTGTACAGAAAATTATATTAACACATTACTTACCTTTTAATTGTAATGAACTAGGAATCTCCAAGTCAAATAATTGAGAATCTTTACAATCTATAAAAGAAATATAATTAGCAATTGTGTAATTAAATATTTGATTAAAAAAATTTTATACCTTTATTGATTTCTTTATCATTAAGATAATCAGTAATAATAGAAGAATTGACAGGTTTTGTTAAATTACTGAATGTAAATAATCTACTAGTATATATAGCATCAGGATTTTTCTCATATAAAATTGAAATATTTGGTATTTCTTTATCAGCTTCTTCAAACATAGCTTTAATCTCTTTACCTTCATACCCAAAATTTTCTTCTTCATTGCCTTCATAGTGAAGAGAATTAAACCAAAATCTAATTATGTCATTCAATTCACTAGCCGTTGGTCTTTGATTTGAATTAGCATTCATACATTTATAAGCTAGTTTCTTATAAATTTCAGGAGTTCCTTTTCCAAATTCTGGTCTGAGTCCATTACATATTTCTAATGCTAAGGTAGTATCATGTTTTCTTTTATGAAATGGTGGTTTTCCAGATGATAATTCTGCCATAATTATACCAAAACTATAAATATCAGAAGATAATGAATATAGTTCTCCATTCAAAACTTCTGGGGCAATATATGGTAATACTCCACATATTTTATCATCCGATTTTTGTTTATTTGATGGTCCAGATAATCCAAAATCTGAAATATAAGATTTAGTGATATTACTATAATTAGGATCAGTATTTTGTAATATATTTCCACTATGAAAATCTTTATGAAAATATCCTAATCCATGTAAACTTTTAAGACCATGTGTTATCCATAGTAAATAAAGTAATTTATCTTTCCACAAAGTGTTATTGAAATTGTGTAAAAGAACGCTTCTCAAATTTCCTTTATCTGCATATTCTGAAATTATTATAAGTTCTTCAGTTTCTGGATCTTTAGTCATTCCATAAAAACTTAGACATCCATTGTATATTTGACATAAATCCCAAAGTATTTTAATCTATTATTTGTATTTAAATTAATGAAAAATTTTTTCAATTATTATTAAAGAGGTTAATTAAAATATGTAAAATTAATACAAAACTTACCTCATTTAAATATTCAGCTGACATATTCTCTGATCCATTTAACTTTTTCAATGCAACTTTGATAGGTCCAGAATTACGTTTTTTCCAAATTCCAAATTTCTTACGTATAATTTTTGGACCATCAATCCACGTTGCAGAATATACTTTGGAAAATCCACCTTCACCAATTTGGTTTATATCTTTAAATTTATCAAATGGTACCCATTCAAGAAAGTTACGATTCTTATTTCTCGCACCATAAATTGTATCTTTGATAAATTTATCAATTTCATTATTTCCACTGTCAATATTCATAAATGGATCGCATTCTTTACACCATAATTCTTCGGTACATGGTTTATTGCAATAAGAACAATTTTTATGACCAATTAATTTATTAAATAGGGACTTGAGTTTCGTTAGTTTAAACATTATTCATATATTTCTAGTAGTTAGACGTTATTGGCGTTATTTGCGTTACTTTATATATTATAATTTCAATAAGGATAAAAAAGGAAATGAGATTCCAAATTAGAATCTAAATTTCGTATCACAGTAATACAGTAATAGGTTGATCAGATTTCTTGCTGCGCTAATAATGATATCATTTAGCAGATCGGCAGTCACGCTCTCTTTAGCATGTGTTACGCGAAATCTTACTCACATGATTTCCGACGATATATGATGATCCGATATGAATACAGTACATTTGTGTACAGTCGCCTCGGAAAGTATTGCCCGATTTAAAATTGATACCAAAAATAGCCAAATTTTATTGATTTTTATTAAACTTTACGTAAAAAAATAATTTCTAAAATAACTAATAATGTGTTGGCCATCCTCTTGCTTATAACACTGCATTGATTCTTTGTGGCATCGAAGCAACAACCTCTTCAAAAATGGAACAATCCAAATTTTCCCATTCTTCACTTAGTGCAACTTTAAGTTCACTCACAGTTCTTGGAAAGGTCTTACGGGCCTGGATATTGTCTTTTAAATGTTTCCAGATGTTCTCTATTGGGTTTAAATCAGGAGAATTTGCCGGCCAATCAATAATCGCAATTTTATTCTTCTTCAACCAATTTTTGGTTATTTTCGCGGTATGAATAGGTGCATTATCCTGTTGGAAAATTGCAGCTCTTCCTGTTAATTCGCAAACTGTGTGTTGAAATGGATATAAATGTGAATTTAAGATTCTAATGTAAGTGTTTGAATTGATTTTTTCATCTCCTTCTTTATTTTCATCACAAAAAATTAATAGTCCTTTTATTCCTCCAAAGAAACATCCCCAAACCATAACTGATTTTCGACCACTTTTAAAAGTAGGTGTCAAACATTCAATGTTAAACCTTTCCCCTGTATGTCTCCAAACTCTTATCTGTCTTGACTGCTTGCCAATCTCAACACTCGATTCATCAGAGAAAATAACTTGGTTCCAATCCTGGATTGTTTTTTCTTTATATTTCTCACACCAACTAACACGAGCTAATGCATGCTTTTTTGATACAAAAGGTTTTTTTGCTGCAACATGGGAATGGATTCCAGCATCATATAGTGTCTGTCTAGCAGTTGTTAAACTGCAACTTAAGCCCAATGTATTAATAATTTCATGTAAAGGTTCACGTCTGTTCTTCTTAACTTCATTTATAAGTGCATTTTTCTCATTATTATTGAGAGCAGGTGGCCGTCCTGATCGCGGTAAATTTTCAGTCACCCCTGTCTTCTTGTATTTGTCAATAAATCTACATATTGTGGTAGGGTCACGCCCCATTTTTCTTGCTATTTGTGCAGGGTTAAAATTTTCCATATATGCTAGTATTTTTCCTTTCTCCAGAGGAGATAATTCAGTCATCGGGCTGGATGTGGGAGGTGCTAGCACCACCCACCTCTGGGTCTACGACCCGTCGCAGTACCTATATGGCCCCTACGGGGCTCAGGAATCCCCATATATCCGCCACAATCTGGGACAACATCTGGAACAAATATATATACCAAATAACTAAAAAATAATAGAAAAGGAAGCAATAACGGATATAATGAGAGGGTTGTCCCAGATGTGGCAGATGTGGCAGATGTTTCAGAAAAATTATGAGAGGACATCCCCCCAGAAAAAGTTTTATTTTTACCCCCCCAGATCCACCACATCCGGAACATCTGGAACAAGTCAGGATTCCGTCTAATAATCTGTTGGAAGCAGTGAGACAGCAAACCAGGTAAGTTAGCAGGTAAGCCCCTAGAAGGTCTATAGAGCCAGTAAGACCAACCCCGTCCCGCCCCCGTCAGAAAAAATAAGTAATTGAACAATGGGTATACCATAAGTAACCTATAAGGACAGATAACATGTATACCCCGCACGCAGTATCAGTAATCCCCGAACTTGTAGGCTATATCCTGGAACACATTCCAAGTAGCAATTTCGGGCCACATCTTTTAGAAGTCAGCCCAATCTGGAGAGCCGAAGCTGAACGAGTACTCTGGAAGCGGCATAAAGAAGCTGAGGAGGAATACGACAGGGCGGTAGAAAAGAAGGAAAAAGCAAATGATGCTCTTTGTCGATCGGAGGAGGAGGATAATAGAAATCGTGACCTCCGTGAACTTGAATGGAAGGCGTATCAAAAGGCTTGTAAAGAGTTAACGGACACTAGAAAAGAGCTAACTATAGTAAAAGGAGCTCTTGAGCGGTTTGGATTTCAGATATATGTAGTTTGAAAAAGAGAAAGGGAAGATTTAGAGCAGTCGTAAAGGTTCATGGTTTATAGTTTTTTTTTACCCCTAGAAGATAACCAGATATAACCGGAGGACCACAGAATCGCAGGACCACAGGACTACAGGAGGGTAACCTGGTAGGAGTGCAGATCTTTGGAAAAAATATTTGGCAATTGAAGATTAGGTAACTATAAATTAGTACTCGATTTGATAGAACAAAAAATGACTGCCCAAACTAGCACTCAAGCTCAAGTTATCCCCAAGTTCGGTGAACAGAAGAAGGCTTTTAGTATTGATGAGCTTAAACGGCTCATTAACGCTGCAAAGAATATGAGGGATCTCAATCAAGCTAAAGGTTATCTTTGCAGTTACTTTATCCCCTGCTCCAACCCACATGGAGTCTTCATGTGGCGATCAGAAATCAAAAACCTCGAGCACATCCCTGATAAAAATATTAATAAACTTATCCGTCCAATTACCAAAGTCTTTTACACACAATCTGAACAGGGTCCTTCACAAAAGGTTGAATTTAATATCAACAAATGGTTTATGATCGAATATAGTACTGTATGTGTAGCTACATGTGACCCTCAAAAATCCCGTATCTTTAAACTAGGTGGCCAACTTTATCTCAATATCTTTCCAGGATTCCTCCATATCCTGCGTCCGATATCTACTTTTGAATCTACAACCCACCTTGCGGTTAAATTTATCTTCTCTCACATTCAGGATATCTGGTGTTCAGGCGATTGGAATCTTACTGAGTATATCATAAAGTGGCCGGTGTGGCAGCTGGAAGGAAAATGTATTCGATTCTCTACCTGAAATCTGGACAGGGTTGGAGTAAGAGTATTATAACAGATTTCATTCAACGTAGTGTCTTAGGTACTCAACTTGTTTATAAGACCAGCGATTCTCAAACGATTCTTGGAAGTTTCAATGGGCAATTACAAGGTAAGGTTCTTCTCCTCCTCGAGGAAATGCCTACAGAAAAAAGCCAGTGGAATAATCTGTATCGATCGTTGAAGGATAAGGTAACAGGTGACATAATGGAAATCCATGAAAAATACAAGATGCCAACACATTACAAAAACTTTATATCCACCATTGTACTCACTAATGAAAATGCTCTCAGAGTGGAGAATGACGATAGGCGCACAGTGTTCTTGGATGTGTCACCATCACGCAAGGGAGACCTCAACTACTTTAAGAAACTCAGTGACGCTATGAAATACCCAGGCGCCAGTGAGGCATTCTATGCTTACTTGAGAGCTATTGCAGACGCTTACCCAGACTTTAATGGGAATCCACCACCTATGACAACATCTAAGCAGGATCACATCATATCAACTCTCCCACCCCTATTTCAATTCATAAAGGACACTTACCTCATAGTAAAAAATCATATAACTGACCTACCTGTTCAAGAATTTTATAGGGTATATAC